AGCAGAGCTGCCGTGAAGAAGACAGCAAACAGCAGGAACCGTGGCCTCGGGTAGAGGAACACAGTCATTACTGACACACGGAGTGTTTGTGGATTGGACCAGTGAGAGAGTAAGTAAATGAAGGAAAACGATCTCCAGCCAGTTCACCCAGGGGCAGACGACATTCCCACACGGCTGCTTCACTGTCTCCCATCCCACATGCTCTTCCTCCAGTGAGACTTTAACACTCCGCGAATCTGGGCACAGCTACAGTTACTGCAGAAGTGACTCTCTGTGACTTCTGAGCTTAGGTCATAAAAAGTGATGCATCTTCCACCTGCTTCTCTTTGGGATGGTCCCTCTTTGAAGGCAGCCACCATGCTGTGAGGAAGCCCAAGCAGCCACATGGAGAGTCCAGTGTACTACTGCAACAGAGGTCCCCACCAGAGGCAGCATCAGCTGCCACGCATGTGAGTGAGTGAGCCTACAGAGCATTTGTCCCCCAGGCTTTGAGTCTTCTCACCTGAGGTCTCTGTCACTGTGGAGCAAAGACAAGCATCCCTGATATGCACTTTCTAAATTTCCTACCCACAGAATCAGTAAGCACAATGTTTTAGGCCACAGTGTAGTTACTTATGCAGAGATAGTAACCACACCAAACCGCACTGACTGGACTCACTGGAATCCAGGGAACAGTAAATTGTTTGCTTCAATCCACAGGGGTCACTCTCCCAGAGTAGGGTGGAGAAGGCTCAAGAACGAGTGTGAGGGGAGAATGGAGAAAACCCAGCACATATAGGGAACATAGGGGATGAGGGTATTAGGACCCAGGACCTGATGGAGTCCATCCATCCTGGCAGAATCCAGTCCCCTACCCTGCACTAGTGCCCTGGCTGCCTAAATAGCCTTTTGCATCTCTGCCTGTGTCCCTCATCCCTCCACCGACCCAGCCTGGCCCAAGCTGCCAGGAACCAGCACACCCCTCTTTCCAAGTCACTCCCTGACTTTCTGAGCCTGCGCAACCTCCCCAGCCCCCAGGCACTCCAACACAAACTCTTTGGCTGAGGCAGCTCTGCACACTGGGCCTGGCAGAGGACAGCAGGTGGGGGATGGGGTGGGGCTGACGCTCTCACTCTGCCCTATGCACACCAGGCTCCTGCCCTCCCTTGCCCTTCTCTTGTCCAGAATTCCCTCCCCACCATGCATCCGATACCACCTCCATCATGGAGCCTCTGAAGAATCAACAAACCACCCACTGGTACAGCCCTCCGCCTTACCTGAACAAAGATACAGACTTCCCTGTGTCCAAAGATACAGGTGTGGTTGTCACTTTCCTGAAAATGCCATCAGGAGAATTTGAGGGCAGTATCAAGTAAGAGAGCTAGCATATACAGGATTTGTCTTCCCAGAAATCTAGAAGGGACTTGTCTAAATCCCACGTGGGCCTTCTTTTAGTAGTCCTGGGCAGGACTGCCTGCTATGTGCTGGGAAGTCGTCACCAGCTCCAAGAAGTCTCCTTGCCTCCCTGCGTGCCCACAGCATCTTATGCACGTGGCCCCCCAGCCCTAAACTCCCAGTATCATAACTAATCGGTTACTGAACTGGACTGTCCTGGGAGCAGAGCCCGTGTCTTCCTAATGTTCCTAATAAAACAATAACCACACTTAGTATTTCAGTCACTGTTAATAAAAAAATTTTGTCTTTTCTCATTTAATCTGTTAGGAAGGTGCTCTCGTGAGTCCCACATCACACATGTGACAGCTGAAGCTCAGAGAGGGGAGGCGACTTGCTTAAGGTCATGGAGGTAGTGTGGACGAGAGCCGGGACCCGGAGCCAGGTCTGGCTGACTCGGAGGTCAGCGCTTTCTGCACATAAGGGCTGTCACCTCTCCAGCTCCAATACAGCTCGGGCTGAGCAAGGAGCAGGCACGCAATCAGTGTTTGTGAAACTGCACAAAACCTTAACCAATTCTCGCAGCATGAATAGAACTCTGATACAGAATGGAAACCAAACCACCTCGGTGATTTCCAATTCAAACATCGCCATCCACTCTGCGAGTTCTGATGCACTGATGTCTTTTGTTTCTTGGAGAGGTTTTGTTGCTTTCAGCAACGAGAGTCAGCGGTGAGGAGGTACACAGAGCTCCCCAGGGGAATCATTTCTGCACAGCATTTCAGATGAGAGATGGGGAAGGAAACATTTTAGAATAAATAGGTTCCAGTTATCCCAACACCACTGAGAGGCAGGTGGGCAAGAACTTGGGGTCCCATTTAACGGATGACAAAATTCAGGCCCTCAGAGTCAGGGAACATGCTTGAGGTCACGCAGAGAGCGAGGGGCTGACACTAGCTGTCTTGATGCCCAGACTGAGGAGGGAGGATGGTCTTTCAAGTCCTCTGCTACCACCACTTCCAAGGTGGCCCACGCCTCAACAGGAAGAATAGAGGGACTTGCTTGATCAGAGGACCCAGCTCTGAATCCTGGCAGAGACCAAAAAGAACGGTCCCATTTAACGGATGACAAAATTCAGGCCCTCAGAGTCAGGGAACATGCTTGAGGTCACTCAGAGAGGGAGGGGCTGACACTAGCTATCTTGATGCCCAGACTGGGGAGGGAGGATGGTCTTTCAAGTCCTCTGCTATCACCACTTCCAAGGTGGCCCATGCCTCAACAGGAAGAATAGAGGGACTTGCTTGATCAGAGGACCCAGCTCTGAATCCTGGCAGAGACCAAAAAGAACCCTACCTGAGGCAGCGCCCTCACTGCTCCACCCCCCAACACCTGTCCTACTTGCCCTCCCCCCATTTCTGCATGCAGCAGGCAGATAGAGCATGTGCCCTGAATCTCCTTCTCAAACCATGCTTTGTGAAGGAAAAGGAGGGAACCTGGCAGCCCATGCACCCTCTTGGCAATTGGTAACTTTCGCTGGCTATGGAGTTCCCAATGGACTGTGGCCTTCAGAGGGACCTCCTTGCCAGGAAGTGACTGAAAACTCCCCTACCTCAATGTCTGGTAGAGAGTCAGGCCCTACCTCTGGGATAGGAGGAGGTGTGTTAGAAGGCTGGAAGGCAAAAACGCTCTCATCCTTTGACTTCCTGTGTGACCTGGGGCAAGTAATGTCTCTCCAAACCTCAGGCCCCCCATTTGTCAAGTGGGGCTCATCCTACCCACTGTCACTACCTCTGGGGGTAAATGTCCATCTCCAGCCCTGTACCTGCTTTATTATTAACTCCCACCTCCTGCTCCTGCCTCAAGCTGCTCAGGGACTGTCCTCAGGGCCTGGAGGTCAGCTGCCCTGGCCTAGGCCAGCCTGGATGGCCCTTTGTGGTGTGGTTGTCCATGGCAACTGGAATCTGACCGCATCCAAGGGACAAGGTCAAATCTTAGCTGAGAAGGGAGCCAGGCCAGTTTCTCAGGAGCAGGACTAAGCATCAACACCGACGGGAGACGAGGCAGGGGGTCAGTAACCACCGAGGCCAGGCTGGTCAAGAAGCCAGCAGCAGGCTGGCAAGGCCAGCAGCTCAGGAGAAGGCCGTGAGCTAGACCCATTCTTGCCAGGAGACAGCCACTCAGTGCATGAAGGCCACAGGCTGCCAGGGGTCTGGGTGGCTGTGAGCAGAACCGGCACCAGCACTCTTTAGCTTGCAAGCCAGGTCCTGGGCCAGCCTGAGAATCCTGCAAGCTTCGAAGCACTCTGTGCATACACAGACTTAGTGATGTCTTACCTTGTTCAGAAGAAAGAAGTGACTTAAAGCACACACAAATCTGGGGATTTATAAGGATACGTAATGTACCACAACAAAACATAAATTAGAAATTAATAAAAATGTAAGAAGCAAAATAGAGGAAGGAACATTAAATGAGCCAGAAATCTGGCTCATTCAAAAGTAAAGAATACAATCTACTAAACATTGTTTCAAAGGCTCAAAATTTTAGACCTGAGCTTCCTGGCAGCAAATGTAAAAGAGGAAACCTGGTCAGCTGCACAATGTTCATGACATTAACCGAGCAAATAAAGCCCAATGTGTAAGAAAATCATAACTGTCTATGGTTTTAAAGCAGGCAGTTTTCCTGGCAGTTCCTCCTTATGACATTCTCAGAATAGACACAAAGACAAGTCTCATGGAGATGGTTTTTGGGAATGACACCATGCCAACAGACAATTCAGCAAAAGTGGTCCCGTAGCGACCAGAATGGAAGTCATCCTCTCCTGGCCTGGCTTAAGGCACAGGCAGATGAGGCTGGGATATTTTAAACATGGAGCATAATTGTTCTTCTTGCTATTTGTTTATTTATCAAAAGTTCATTTGTGCAACCCGTATTTGCTGAGTAAGCACCTAATTAGTGCCAGCACTGTATGGGGCATTGGAGAAGCAGAGGCAAGCAAGACAGATGTGGGCCTTGCTGTCCTGGAGCTTAAGGTTTTGGAGGGGAGACATATAAGAAACAGGCAGTTACAATGTAACCAGGGTCCCTACGGGGAGCCCAAGGCACTATGGGAGGCTGAGGAAGGGCCCAGAAAGAGGATGACTTCAGGGATAATAATAATGGGCCACACTGATCAGAGCACTTACTGTGTACCAGGCACTGCTGGATCAATAATGCTGAGGTAGGTAATTATCACCCCCGTCTTACAGAGTAAAGAAACTGAGTTCAGTAACTTGCCCAAGATCTCACAGCTAAGAAGTGGTGGAGCAGGAACCAGGACTTTTAATCACACACAAGAGGGCCTAAGGCAGACCCCAAATTTGGGGAGCTCATCTTTGGGAAGGGTGTGGGCAGAGGAAGCTGAGCAGCTCTAACCCCCAGGAGATGCAGAGCCCCCCCAGTCTTCTGCCCTCCCCTTTGAGCAATGGTTTGGCCTGGGTCAATGAGCCTGGCCAGCTTCCCAGGGGCAGGTCGGGGGGTGGGGGAGATGGCCTGCGGCACCTGGGAGATGACTGCATGGCACTTCCCAGCTGGCAGAGCTGTCTTGGTTCTTTACTACTGCATAACCAGTCACCCGAACACATAGTGGTACAAAACAATTTTATTATGCTCCTGGATTCTGTGGGTCAGGAGTTCAGACAGAGAACGGCAGGGATGATTTGTCTCTGCTCCATGACGTCTGGGGCCTCAGTTAGGAAAACTCAAACAGTTGGAGAGGCTGGATGGCTGAGCTCAGCTGGAACTGTTGACCTCTCCATGTGGCTTGGGCTTCCTCACAACATGGCAGCCTCAGGAGAGCGATTCTTCCTGCCTCTTACATGGTGGCTCAGGGCTCCAACAGCAAGGGTGCCAGGGAACAATATGGAGGTTGCGTGGTCTTTGCTGGCTTAGGGTCTCTTCTGCCACACTCTGTGGGGTGAAGAAGTCATAAATCTGCCCAGATTCAAGGGAAGGAGACATAAACCCCAGCTCTCAGAGGGAGAAGTGTCAAGAATTTGTGGCCATGTTCTAAAACCCCAATTGCCATGGGTTGCCCAACAGCTGGGCATAGGAACACTGCAGGGACCCATCCCTCTATGGCAGATTCAAAACAGCTGAATGAAGGTACAGTCAGTCAGGGTAGGCGCATGACCCACCCTGGCCCACCTAGACTTCCTCTCCCTTTGCCACTGTCCACTTGTGCCTCTCCTTTGACTGTGACATCCTCCCCTAGCATGGTGAAGAGATTGGACCAGGCACTCACAAGACAAGGGCGTAAATCTGTCTCCACCACAGTAGGATGACCTTGAATGAGTCGGGTGACATCCGGGAGCCACAGCAGTGGATATTTCTTCCCTTCCAGAGTTCTGAGGAGGAACAGAAGAAAGGACATATGTGAAAGCCAGACACCCAGGGGACGCTGGTTTCCTTCCAGGGGGAACGTGGTGGGGCAGGGGTGCCACATGCAGGGAGAGGATCTGAGGACCTGACTCACTGGGTATCTCCCAGAGACTTTGCCAGGGTGGCGTGTCTGCACTTGAAGCTGTGGCAGGCACCTCTCGGGCCTGTGGCTCCTGGCTCTAATTACAGCTTTCTGGACATGTTTCCTGTTTGGGAGCTGGCAGGATCTCCTCAGAGGATCCACAGATAATAAGCAGCTGGCTGCAGAGCCTCTATCTATCGGGGCACTGACCTGGGAGCAGGCCCACCTCCAAAAGCAGAAGCCTTCAAAGGTCACCTGGTCTCAGGGCTGCCCCATCACACTTGCACAGGACCACCATCATGGCCAGATTCCCAGTCTCTGCTCGCACAGCTCCAGTGACGGGGAGCTCACCTCCTCATAAGTAGCCTGCTCATCTCTAGACAGCACAGGTAACTAGAAGCACTTCCCAAATCAGCCTGCCTTTAACTCCTAGCTTTGGATCCCCAGGTCCACCAAGAACAAGACAACATGGAACAGAAGAAAGGGCACAGCCTCTGCGTCAGGAAGAACTGACTTTGGTTCGAACTTCGGCTCTGTCCTCTTGAAGCTCTGCAGCCTTGGTCTCTTCGAGCCTCAGTTTCTTCACCTGTAAAATAGAATGATGCCACCTAGTCTAAAGGGAAAGTGGAAGGCCACACGTGTGAAAACGCCTGGCACACAGTACATGCCAAGCACATGCTGTGCCCGCCTCTCCACACACCACATTAGGCGGCTTCCTTAGGCTTAGAGACCACAGATTTGCTCAGATTCAGGCAAGTGACTGGCCTGAAGAACCACTGGTATGTCTGGAGAATCAAGGAGGCAGAAGGCCATCTCCTCGGCCACACAGCGGTGCCTCGTGGCAAGCGAGAGGGACCGGGGGGTCCCTAACTTTTCTGTTTCAACTTCTAGGTGCACCTGAATGTGTACGGATCTACTGAATGAAAAACAAGTAGATGCATGGGTGGGTGGATGGATGGATGGAAAGACAACGAACACTCAGTTTAAATGAGTTTCTAAGTCCTGCCAGGAAACACCCGCCCCCTTTTAATTCCAGCTCTACTGAATGAAGAGGGCTTGGCGGGTTGGGTCCGGGGTGGGGCCTGAGATTCTGCCTTCCTAACCAGCTCCCAGTCGCAGCTGATGCTGCTGCTCTGCAGGCCACGCTTGGAGCAGTTCTGGTAGGAAGTAGACAGCTGACCGATGACACCCTTTGGGAAACATGCTCACGACCAGGATGGGGTCACCTGGCCTGGGAGAGTTCCACAGGAGGTGGAAGGAAAGCACCCTTCCCAGCCCTGGGGTGGGAAGGGTATATAGCACCCCTCCTGACTCCCACCTCTTGGAATTTTCTGCTCTCCATCCTCAGCTTGGGCTCTCTTAGAAATCACGATTTCATTGCAGACAGGGCTGTGGTCCACAAGATCACACCTCCCTACAGTTGCAGTTCGGGCTGTACAGAAAACCCAGTAAATAGGATGAGGTGTGCAGGCGGCCAGGCAGGCCACCCACCCACTACAGGCCTTTCAGCAAGAGGAAGCAGCACTGGGAAGAAGAGACACACACACATGCATGTACCCAGGGCAGGGCCCAACCCCTCCCTGACACACCCCTTCACTGTCAGTCCCATGGCTAATGGTAGCAGAGGCTCAGTTCAGGATTCGGCTCAGGCCCTCACTTGCTGCATGGCCTTAAACATGCCCTCCGCCTCTCTGGGTCTTAGTTTCCCCATCTGTAAAAGAAGATAGTTGGACAAGGACTTGCATAGGGAAGGAATCAACGTTACCTGAGCCACCGATGTATTCATTTATCAATTCTTTCATCTGACAGATATTTGATGAGCAGTTCCTGTGAGCCAGGATCTGACCTCCAGCACAGAACAAGGGAGGAGACAGGACGAGCACGCCTCTGGGGCTGGTCCCACTTCTGCACCAGATGCCTCATCCCTATCTCTTGGTGCCTTCACTACTGCCAACTGCAGGAGCTGGGTGGCATTCTCCCTGCTTTCCAGGTGAGGACACAGAGGCAAGCCCATGCCTCAGGCACTCACACAGCATGGCACCAAAAGACAAGCCGAGTTCTGCTTCTGTGCACTTACCCACAATTTTGCAATCCAGAAACTACAAAGAGCCTATTTTAACTTCGACATGAGAGGAAGCTTAGTGTCACTATGGAAAATAAACTTTATTTGGAGTTACATGGGGTGGGACCGAGCACCGTGGTCTTGTCAGTGCTTGGGGCCTGAAGGTCTCGGCCAGCTTTGGCCCAATGCCTCTCTTTCCCACTTTGAAGATGTGCCCAATCATTCCCACTGCCTGGAAAACTCTCCCTCCTTTCTGCCTCCCCAGATATGCTCGTCTTTCATGGCTTTATTCACCTCTTGAGTCCTCTGGGAAGCTGTTCCCGGCCCCAGTTTCCACTGATCCAGCCTGCAGCTCCTACCCCGGACTGCTGAGCTCTGGGGAGCCAGGTCCTCCCTGGGGCTGTCTGCTGGGTTCCTAAAGCATCTGTCAAGTTGAAAAGGGTCAAGGTGCGACCTGAAGGCCCTTACAGGGGCATCAGGCACAACCTCAGACCCTTGTTCTTTTGGGGAAGAAGGTGAGTCAACAAAGTTAGAAGGCGTTATCTTTCACCTTCTCTCTTTTGCAAGCATCCAGTGGAATTTTCTAGAGGCTTCATGACATGCGACTCCCAACAGATTGAATTCAGAGGCAGGCAGGAGAACCCAGTTGTCTTTTCTGAAGTGAATCACTAAAGAGATTTGCAAAGACGTAAAGCGATGCCACGCTTCTGCTTAAGTTCCTTTGTTTTAGAAGACAGTTATTTTTTATGAAGAATATATTACCTACGTTAATATGTCGTGGTTTTCTCTTGTTGCTCTTAAATAATTAATAAATATTTTATAATTTCTCAGTTTTAATATCTGATATGGTAAATGTCAACAGAGATTTAACAATATTTAACATAAACAAAAGCTCTTTCAGGTCCTCAACAATTTTTTCTAGTATAACAGGGTCCTGAGGCAGCATTTGAGAATTGAAGAGGAAGTGCCCCGCCCACTGCCACTGATTGGACGAGAGGTGGGACCTGACCAACAGGCAGCCAATCCAGAGGCAGGTGGGGGGGGAATAGGCCCTGGCAGGGTGTGAAAAGATCACCAGGGCTGTGGACCTTGAATGGGCAGGCTGGGAGGGACAGGGCCTGGAGAGAAGCCCAGGGGAGAGCTGGGGCCATAGGGCAGCCACAGCTAGAGTAGCAGGGGCTGAGGTCCAGGCCAGACATGCAGAGAGGAAGAAGGGAATATGGGAGCTGGCACAGAAGGGAAAGAAGCAAAGTCAGGGGAGACCGAAGTACGTGAGGGTGATGCAGAGTCTGCAGCTGCAGAGACTTTCTGCTGCTGCCCTGGGTGATCCCTGGCTCCCTGAAGTCCCATGCCACACTCCCAGCCAGTTCTGCCAGCAGCCTACCAGTTGGAGTCACCCAGTTCTCCACAATACGACTCTTTTCCCTGGCCCTCCTTTACTTGGGCTCAGCTAAGCACTTCTGTTCCCTGCCATCCTCAGAGCCCCCCCAAAAGAGCCGTGAGTTCTGTCCTGACTCTGGGGGAGTAGCTGAGCATCATCGTGGGGATGCTGAGTGTAGCTCACGGAGCTCAGAGGGCACACGAGGACTGACATCACCCCGTATGGAAGTGCCTGACACGTGCCATGCCCCCGACAGGTGTGGCTAATATTAGTCTGCTTGCTACTGCCTCAACTGCTACTGTTATTATTAGTGGTGGTATTAATATCACAGCAGGAAATGGTCTTCAAGGTCACAGAGCTTGAGCCCTCGATTTTGCCGAGGGGTAAACAGGAAGGCCAGGAGCAGGTCAGAAGCAGAGCTGGAATCAGCCTACTCTCCTGTCCCACCCAACGCATCCCAGTGATACTATAAGCTCCCTGGGGGCATGGAACAGCCAGCTACATCCACACGCATGCAACTGAGCATTCATTCTCTCTGTTGTTGTTTCTTTGAACACATCCCATGGGCCAGGCACTATGCTGAGTGCTGTATGCCCACAACAGGGCTTGCCCCAAATTGGCTCAATCAATGTTTGTAAATCGATCCTTGGCCTCTCCCATCTGGGTGGACATTGGGAATCCTGGCCAGGGATGGGGGTTGAAAAGGGTTCTATGAGCCATCCCCCCCGAACACCAGTAACCAAAACACAGCTGGTACTCCCAGCGCTCTCATACCCACCACCTGCTCTGAGTTCCTCTGGGGTAAGCAAGGCTTGGATCCTCATCCCCTTAGCAGAGGAGGAAGCAAGTCTCAGAGAGCTTTAGTGCCTGTCTGGGGACACACAGCCCTAGACTGTGGAGGGCTGGGAGCACAGGTCTCTCAGTGCAAGTTGAAGATTCCAGAGTGTGACCAGCTCAGGCAAGTAGACATATTGGGACGTGCCTGATAGTGAGGAGCTGAGAGCAGGGTCTCGAGGGTCTTCTTGAGCAGAGGCAAAGGCAGGGAGTCTCTGTTGGTGTGGGCATTGCAGAAACCAAGCCCCAAGAACGGCCACTTCTACCAACTACTCAGCAGAGCAGCTCCAGCAGCAAATACTTTATGCTTAAATAGCAGGGCATCCATGATAGACGAAGCCCAGCTGTCCTGAGAAGGAAGAAAGATGGAACCTCGGGCCTGGCAGAGCCACCGTCCTAGGCAGGGTGGAGTGTGGAGGAGAGGTGGTGGCTTCTCAGGGAGAGCTCCCCGGGAAAGAGCTCGGAGGGCCAGTGGAGGCACTGCCTGCAGAAGGAGCAGCTTGAGCCGAAGCTGGCCACCTGCAGGCCCCTGGAGAAGAGAGGGCCGGAAGTCCGGGTGGGGAGGAGGCCAGGTCTGACGTGGAGACCCTTCCAACACTCTTCTCACCCTATACTTCTCAGTCCCAGCTGGAGTCACAGTGTGTCTCCCATCTAGATGCAAGGTTCCCTGAAGGCAGGCCCAGGCTGCTCGCTGCCGGATCTGGCACCTGGCCTGGAGCAAACACTCAGTTACTGTGCTGGGTAGGAGATGCTCTGGAAGCAGCGCTGCTGTTGGGAGTGCTAAAAAAGTGTTTTTATATTAGAGTGTCACGGAGGGACTTTGGTTAGAGAACTTACGTCATGAACTTGACAGACCTAAGCAGGACAGGCCCACATGACGTGAATGCCCTGGGCCTTAACCGATCACCTCCTTTTGAGACATTACCATCTGATCTTGGGAGGACTCAGCTGTAACTCTGTGATAAGGACTTAACTGACCACGACAGACCTTGAGCAGAGTATAAGGAACGGAGGCAAAAGCCCCAAATTGCTGCACTCATTGAGCTGCTGGATTGCAGGACGGTGCTGTCGATGAGGTGCTATTTCCTCTGGGAGTTCAAGAAGGGACCCAAGGGGCCGGCCCGGTGGCACACTGGATAGTGCGCCGCTTGGGAAGCGCGGCCGTGCTCCCGCCGAGGGTTCGGATCCCACATACAGACCGGTTCCCGCTCACTGGCT